TCAAGTTTTTATCTGACTAAAGCAAAATAGATCAAAAGACTGTCTGAAGACAAAAGAACTTGATAAGCAATAATAATAATACATTTAAAATTATATTTTTGTGTGATTGGCCTACATCTACAACTTAGGTGATGTTCTGGGTTTCGGCGCCGTGTAGACTTGTCGGTAGATACCATTGTTTCGAAGACGTGTACTGTTTACATCTTCAGGGCTGAGGAACACCACCCTCACCACTGCGAAAACCTCAAATCGCACCCACAACAATTTTATCTGCAGATACATTTTGCACTTTGGATTAGACCGTTGGCTTGGTTGTTCCAGTGGATGTTTAGTTTCTGAGTCTGCCGCGTGTCGTCTCTGTTAACTAGTTTCGTCGCTGAAGTGAAATGGTTTAATGCCACAAATCAAAGTTAAATGGAGAGGAAGTTGCAGTTTGCAGGAAATTACATTCAATCGAGAGAGAAACTTTACATTTGAATGACAAAGTAATATGAGAAGACAATGAGGTGAAGGTATTGAGCATTTTAAATATCGAATAGCTTTATTACGGCAATCTGCAATGTGATGAGCCCCCAAAAACATGTAATATGTAGGTCTATAATTTATTATAATAAAAATTAAGATATATAATTTATCAGGAATATTTCTGTCAGGAAGTGTTGTTTTTTATTACATTGGTTTTCAGTTGTTTTGTTTTTGAGAAATTGTCCAAGGTAAACTTCTATTCCTACAAACACAATTTATTAAATGATTTACGACAGTTAATGCATGCATGTCATTTGCGTCCGTAAGCTTACCTGCAAGCCATAGGGCGTATATTAACGACGCAAATCCGGACCGGGCCCCGGGCATAGACAGTAAGAGGACTCATCGACCAGTGAGGAAACGTCTGTGGCCTCCAAGGGAACCATCTCTGAATGACTTACCCGTAACTGATTAACGGGATCGAACTAGTTTTGTATCCGCGTTATCTTTAGTATCTTTAAATGCTTACGTTTAGTAACCTCATTGTCATAAATACTGCAACTTCGAAATCTGTATTCAGGAGCTGAGCGTTCCTGTTAGCCATGTCAGCCCGGCTGACACTTTTAATACCGTAAAAAGTCACTTTCATGGGTCAGTGGTACGCTTTAAGCTGGACACAACAAGACTGGTTTGATCCAATTTATCGTTCACCACTTCGTACAGGCTTACGTCCGCCGTCTGCTTGAACACTAGGTGGAATTAGAAGACTCTACTAGTGTAGGATAGCCACGGTGGTCTAGCGGTTAGAACGCTGGCCTTGTAATCCTGGGGTCTCGGGTTCGATTCCCGGTGGTGCCCGAATTTATAACTTGTGTTGGGCAAGGCCGTGGTCTGGACAACACGGAGTTTTCCTCCGGGGGCTTCCCAACAATTACTCCATTCACACACAGAAGAAGGCAATGGCAAACCACTTCTGGATCATCTGCCAAGAACGTATATGAACAGGTCCCAGTCCGAGAAAAGGATGGAAGGATCCTGTTCATACGGACCTGTCGTCAGACAGAACACTAAATAAATAAAATAAATAACTAATGTAGGATTGTAGGACGGAGTGACCGTATGTGACGTTGCCAAATCTCGACTGCTAACACTTTTGGCTTTTGCCGTACCGCGTTAAATCACATTTCTCGTTATTTAAATTTCTTAACCTTTGATGTGTATCATTGAAGATTAAGGCCGATTTTCACGGACAACGATATTTAGGTGAGAGTTTAAAAAATAATTTTCCCGCCACTCTGTATTGTTAACCAGATGTTATTAGGATGATCAAATCAAGGAGGCTGTAATGGGCTGGAGCATGTAGAATGCACTGGGGAGATGAGAAATACAGACACGGTTTTGTTCTCATGACCCGAAATGAGCAGAACACGTAGCAGATCTAGGGGGAAATCAGAGGTTGATATTAGAATGTCCCTGATAAGGAAGGTAGTAAATATTTTTGAAACGTTGGTAAATGTTTTGAGACTACACGGTGCAGCATCCATGAATACAGTTTTGTATCAAAATGGATCCTTAACAGATTGGGAAGGTGTAGTCTGTATTTATGTTGCCTAGGACAGAGACCTATTGGTAACATGACACGGACTGTCGGTTAAATATCACGAGGGAATGTAATGTATGTGAGCAAAGGATGGCTTGAACTCTTGGCGAAGGCGAATTCTGACACCCTGGAATGGTAGCTGGGCTGCCAGTGTTCGGATCATTTATGCAAATATTTCATTTTCTGGCCGCTGGGGCATGGTGTTGCTAGAACTTTCTGATGTGTGGTTATGTAGGAGTTTCCACTTTTTTCATCCTACATTTCTCTAATGAAGCGAATTCAGGTTTGAAAAAAAAAACCACTTCATACTATTGCAAAAACTTTGCGTGCCACAAAACATTCCAATTAAAATCTACACGCTGACAGGACATTAGAAGTTTCAAGAAGCTACTTACGTACACACAAACCACGAGTTATTTAACGTGTAACATACGGTCAGTCATGTGAAATATGCTGTCAGAAAAAGTATTTCTAGATCAGTCAGTTGTATTGAAAGCATCTAGTAACGTGTCGTCTCAAGCAGCTTCAATTTCACGCCGTTTGGACTTGCAGGTGGGTGGTTTCAACGTTTCGGAGAAACGTTCTCCCTCCATCTTCAGGGTTTAAGTGGCTTCAGCCCCGTGAGGGAAGTCTGTTCTTCTGAAACGTTGGTATCAACACGGCGTTACAACCCAGAGGACCAACATCGACATCTTTACCGCCGTGAGAACTTCAGTTCCTACATAGCGGGATCTTGCCCGTCAGTCATGATCTTCGCTTCTCACTGGCACGACAAGGTGGCGATCCTGTGACCTCGGTGTTACCTGTTTCCCGTAGCTGCAGTTGTAGAGCTTGTACTGAGATTCAGTTCTACGCATAGCATCGTCTTCTGTAATTCATCAGTCATTTATTACGCTGAGTTCGTTGTACAGAAGACTACACCGAGGATTCGGTGTACATAGTTTTAACATAACTATCTCTAATATCACTATTATCTTTATTCTTGCTTGTAGAAGCGTACCTTTCCCTTCCGCATTCCCATTTATAACTTTTTAATTTTATTCTCCTGTCTATAGAAATTTGATACAAGTATTTTCCTGTGTACCTTAATTCAACAGCATTACTAGAATTTATCATCATCTAAGCTGACTCATCGTTAACAATAAGCCATTTTAACAAATCTAAAACTTCTTGACGATGGTGAAGAGTTATTTGAATAAAAAGTTTCTTGGATATTATCCATCGTCTAGTAAAATATAAAACGTAAAAC